GGCGGAGACGACGGCTGCAACGGCGGCGGCGGTGGGGACGACGGCTGCGGCAGCTGCGGCGACGGCGGCTGCGGAGGCGGTGGAGGAGGAGACACCGGGGGAGGGACAGACGGCGAGGACCGCGCCGGAGGACTACCAGAGTCAGAAGACTCGTCGACCGGGACGACCGACGGGAGGGGGGTGACGTGAGACACACCTGAGGGGGCCGGACGGGGGGGCGGGGGGGGGGGAGGGGCAGGGACCACCGGGGAAGGAGGGACCAGGAACAGGGGGGGGTAACCGGGGGACCACGGTGGGGGAAGCGGCGGTAGAAGGAGACGGACTCGTCAAAGGTGACGTCGCGAGAGTGAAAGAAGCGGTGAGACGGCGGGTGGTAGAAGTGCCAGTCGGACGAGTCAAGAGGGAAACCGAGGAGACGCAGGGGAGGGTGCGGGCAGTGAGCTTGTCCGTGCCAGAGGCACGAACGTGAGCAAGGCAGCCCCAGACGTGGAACGCAGACGCGTCACCAGGGGACCCGGTCCACAGAAGGGTCGGCGAAACCGGCGGCCGCTGGGGGTGCGGCCACAGGTTAAGCTGGTGAGCGGCGTAGCGCACGGCGAACGGCCACAGAAAATGGGGTGCACCGGCGTGGATCATGGAGGTGCGAGCCACCTCCATGACCAAACCGATGCGTCGCTCAGCGACCCCATTCTGCTGCGGGGAGTCCGGCAGGGTAAACGTCTGGGTGATGCCCTCCGCACGACAGAAGCGACCAAGGACACCGGAGGCAAACTCGCCACCCCGGTCGGAGTGGAGGCGCAAGGCAGGGAGACCGCGGTGGACACGAGCAGAGACAAGCCAGGGGATGAGAACGTCAGGCACGTCGGCCTTCCGCTCCAGGGGAAAGACGGTGGTGTAGCGCGTGAAGTCGTCGGCAAGCACTAGGAAGAAGCGCTCGCGACGTGGCCCATGGAGCGGGGCTGGGCCCCAGACGTCCATGTGCAGAGTCTGCAGTGGTGCGGTGGTAGGGGGAAACGAGGAGGAGTGAGGGGCACGGCGGAGCCGGCCCTCGACACAAGGCGTGCACGGGGGGGCGGGGGAGGAGGGAAACTCGGGGAACGAACCGGGGAGACCAAGGACGAGACCGTGCTGGGACATGTGACGCAGACGCGGGAGTGCAGGGTGACCAAGGCGGTGGTGCCAAAGGAGAGTCGGGTGAGTGAGGGACCGACAGGAGCACGCAGCAGCAACCTGGGTAGACGCAGCCACCTGGGGGGAAGACCCAGCCGGGGAAGTCGCGGTGTCAAGTGTGAACAGGCCGGACACCGGGTCCCGGGGGAAAGTGGTAAGGGGGGCACCAGTGGCGGCCTCGGTATAGACAGCATACCGCTCGTGACCAGGGAACGTAGTGGTGACGCCAAGGTCCTGGAGGCAGCCGACACCAACTAGGTTCCTGGAGAACGAGGGGATATGCAGACCTGTGAGCGAACCGAAAGGAACCGCCGGACAGGGAAGGGAGGTGGAACTGCGGGCAACGACGGGACCACCGGAGGGGTCAGCAAGAGTAACTGCAGCGGGAACAGGCAGCGGCGTCAGCGTCGTGGAGTTGCGGAAGAAACACCGGGAGGCGCCAGAGTCCAAGGTGAAGGAAAACGCAGCAGTCGCGCGAGGCGGCAGTGAAGCGGTGGAAGCACCGAGGCTAAGCAAAGCAGGAGATCCTACGCCTGACGCAGCAGGGGAGTCTACGCTAGGCACATCTACACTAGGCAACACAGGGTAATAAGAGGGAAGCACACTAGAGTCATCAGCATACATCACATGCAAGGCTGCTACAATGGCATCCATGTCCAAGTCAAAAATCTGAATGCTACGCCTAAGCAAGCTGTGCCAGTCCGGGAGGTCGGGCGCCGGGCCGAAGCGCTGACGGAACAGGTCGTCCAGACGACGAAAACAGCGAGGAGTGGAATGACCGATCTTACCGCAAACGAAACCGCAGCGAGGACCGGTCTGGATCTGGTACTGACAGCGCCCGCCTCCAGAACCACCACCCGGCGCACCACCACGCGCACGACCACCACCAGCTCCAGGCCACCCAGGCGGGAGAGCACTCGCCTGCCTCGTCTGCGGCGGCTGCTGCGGCTGCTGCGGAGGCTGCGGCTGCGGCGACTGCTGCTGCTGCGACTGTGGAGGCAGCGGGGCAGCTGGACTGGGCAGGGTCCCCACGTCCGCACCGGCACCGGACGACCCGACTCCACCACCACCCCCACCCGCACCCCCGCCGCCTCCGCCGCTCCCAACCTTGGGGCAGCGGCCCTTCCCCGAGCGGGACTGCACTGCAGCAGCAGTCTCAGCCACAGCGACAGAGCCGTCGGAGAAGGTACACTGAGCGGGGGCACAACCCTGAAAGATAGGGACCGGTACTGTACCGCTCGCCTGGGCGATGGAGCGGTGACGAGTCTCTATAACAGTCAGGGTGTCAACAAAGTCGGTGAGGGTGAGAGCAGCGGGGTGGATGCTAAGGAACTGGTCGCGGGCGGCGGCAAGGCGGTCAGGGAGGCGGGTGGCAAGGAGGTAGAGGGTAGAGGTCATGGGGGGCTGGTGGACTCTAAGCTGTGCATCAGTGCAGGCAGCGCGCCAGGTCTCATCTATCGAGCGCAGGTGGGCAGCGAGGTCAGAGACAGTGGGGAAAGACGCAAGGTCAGGAAAGAGCAGGGGGAGGATCAGGCGACCCACTGAGGCAGCAGGAGGGGTAGAATAGCGCTTGATGACAGCATCGAGGTAGGCCTGGGCGGTAGTAATGGTTCTAAAGCGAGGGCGCTCAGTGGGGGGGAGGGCATTGCTAATGGCGAGCTGAGCAAGGGCATCGCGGGAAAGCCAGACAGAGCGGGCAAGGGCAGCGGCGGCAGTGGACTCGCGCTCAGCGGGCGTGGGATCAGCGGGCAGCACAGCAGGGGGGTCAGGGCAGGGGAGCATACCGTCTAGGTGGGCAGAAAGCGGGTGGCCGTCCTGCCGCTGACCAGTGAGGTGGCGGCGAAGGTCAGCCAACCACGCCTCGAACTCCAGAGGCTGACCCTCAGCATCAAAACGAAGCTCAGCAGCCATCAGGGGCAGTGTAGGACAGTGGAGTGCGGTGTAGTGCCGTGCAGTGCGGTCCAGTGCGGTGCAGTGCGATGCAGTGCGGTGCAGTGCGGTCCAGTGCGGTGCAGGGCAGTGCAGTGCGGTCCAGTGAGGTGCAATGCGGTGCAAGGCGGGGCAGGGAAGTGCAGGAGGGTGCAAAGGCGGCGCGAGGAACGGGGGACAGTACCAGGAAGGATGTAGGGCCGGGGCAGGTGCGACGGGACCGGGCAGGCGCGACGGGGCCGGGCTGGCGCGACGGGGCCGGGCAGGCGCGACGAGGGGCCAGGCGGGCGCGACGGGGCCGGGCGGTGGCGACAGGGGCCGGGCAGGCGCCACGGGGCCGAGCGGCTGCGACGGGGCCGGGCGGACGTGACGGGGCCGAGCAGGTGTGACGGGGCCCAGGAGGGGCGCTACGGGGCCCAGGGAGGAGCGCGGCAGGGCCCAGGAGGGGCGCTAAGGGGCCCAGGGAGGGGCGCGACGGGGGCCTGGGAGGGGCGCTACCAAGGTCAGGAGGGGCGCGACAAAGCCCAGAAGGGGCGCTACGAAGCCCTGGAAGGGGCGCGACGGGGCCTGGAGGGGCGCTACGAAGCCCTGGAAGGGGCGCGACGGGGCCTGGGAGGAGCGCGACGGGGCCTGGAAGGAGCGCGACGGGGCCTGAGAGGGGCACGACAGGGCCCAGGAGGGGCGCTAAGGGGCCCAGGAGGGGCGCGACGAGGCCCAGAAGGGGGCGCGACGAGGCCCAGGAGGGGCGCTACGGGGCCCAGGAGGGGTGCGACGGGGCGCTACGGGGCCTGGGAGGAGCGCGACGGGGCCCAGAAGGGGCGCTAGGGGGCCTGGGAGGAGCGGGACGGGGCCTGGGAGGGGCGCGACGGGGCCTGGGAGGGGCGCGACGGGGCCTGGGAGGGGCGTTACAGGGCCCAGGAGGGGCGCTACGAAGCCCAGGAGGGGCGCGACGAGGCCCAGGAGGGTCGCTACGGGGCCCAGGAGGGGCGCGACGGGGCGCTACGGGGCCTGGGAGGAGCGCGACGGGGCCCAGGAGGGGCGCTAGGGGGGGCCTGGGAGGAGCGCGACGGGGCCCAGGAGGGGCGCTAGGGGGGCCTGGGAGGAGCGCGACGGGGCCCAGGAGGGGCGCTAGGGGGCATGAGCGGAAGCGGTAGGTGGGGGGGGGTCCTACCTAAGCGTGATACCATAACAGAATAGGAATTGAATGATAATAGTGTTAGAGAGTACATGCACATATACCTAAATGTTGTACCCTCTAGGAGGTTACCCTATACAGTCTATACAAAACATGATCAATAAACATGTTTGACACAAAGAACAGTATTTCGTAGTTTTTCAAGCTCAGCTCGATTGAAAAAAAAAAACGAACAAGATGAAAAACGCAATGTCAACTACCATTAGCAGCGAAAAAACGGGCAGAAACATCAACACAAGTTGCAGCGCGAATTGGAAATGTCAGCAAAGGTCAAGACTCGGGAGGATTTGGACCGTCGAATTCGCGGATTCTGTTGTGATTTGACGGTCAGAATCCTCCCGAGCGAAATCCTCCCGTCGAAGTCGCGGATTCTGTCGCGATCATGACGGTCGCAGGTGCCGCACAAACCTGGCCCTGACTATAGCACTCAGCAGGGATTGGCCAACGACGATTGGTTTGTGAGTTTCGTCGTAGCGGATGCTGTACCTCGCTAACAGTCGCTCCGCGCAGTTTTGAACACACATGGCCTAAAACACTCAAATTCAAATTGCATTTTACATAACACATGGGCACTATATTTTTCCGGGCCACTGTTAACACCCAGTCATTTTTTTAGTGAATTTTTATATACACCATAGGGTGTTATATACGGGGGATTACGGTAAGAGCCTTGTTGTACCTAAGCCACTTGAAATGAGAACGATGCCTATAGCAAAGGACAAGAAAACAAGCTTTCTCAATTGTGATCAAGAAGAAATTACCGTACGAGGGTTCATAAGTCAGCGACATACCTAGTCACCTAAATGGTCACGTTAGATACCACAACACAGTACTGTACCATACCATGCATGGACGAACCCCTCATTTGCGAACTCGGGACCTCCGTGATTGTGACTCGAGCAGACACAATGCTCCAAGCCACACTACACCAGCAAACTCTGCCCAACATGTGCATTCATACAGCCAACAGGTGTCAGCCTCCAGCCCAGCCCCCGCTCCCATCAGTGCCACATGCGTGTTCACTTGGCCAATGAGCCACTGCGCGCACTAGCACTACCCCCTACCCCACTTCGACCCCCACGCACTCCCGCCCCGCCCCTCCCAGCAGACCACTCGCCCGCACCTGCCACACCCCCACCACTCCCTGCCGCCCGCCCAGAGCCTATAGGCCTGGCCCTGCTGCCAGGCGGACCGGCCCACCCAGCAGGCACCACCGGGCCCCCGACGACCTCCGTCACCCCTGCCAGCCTGGAAGCACCTGAGCTTGAAGCCCCACCAGTGCCTATTCCGTTCGCCCTACCAGCAGCAGCAGCAGCGGCATGGGGGTCAGCATGCATGGAGGAGGAGGCGACGGAGAGAGTGCGGCTGAAGGAGCTGTCGGTGTCAGACGCCTCGTCGCGCTCCATGCGCTCCACTAGAGAGTCCATGGACGTGAAAAAATCCCGACGGGACGCTGGCCCCCCTTGCGCTGCTGCTGCTGCTGCTGCTGCGGCGGCGGATGCGGATGCTCTTGGTGATGGCGATGGTGATAGGCGACTGCGATCACCAGCGGCGCCACCGCTGCTACCAGTGCCTCCCGTTCCTACGTCTGGCGTCGTCTTCCGACGTAATCTCTGCTGCTGCTGTTGCTGCTGAAGGTGCGATGAGGAGGCCATAGGCTGGGATGCTGTCCTGCGCGCTTGTCCAGGCCCCACACCATTCCCTGTGCCGCCACCGGTGCTTCGGCCTGGTGTTGTGCTTCGCTTGCTGCTGCCCGTCCCAGCAGCAGCAGCAGCAGCAGCAGCAGCAGCAGCGGCAGCAGAGGAGGCAGTGGCGCTCCTGTAACCCTTGGAGTCAGAGCTCGCCCGTGCACTACTGCTCGCACTGCCAGCAGCTGTCAGGGCAGCAGTGCTGTTACCTGAGCCTGTGGCACCCGAGGTGCGGTGCAGAGTGGTGCCAGAGCCACTGGGGCTAGCAGAACCACGCACCCCGCGTGGGCCTGTAGCACTGGTGGCTTGAGTCGGAGCAGCAGAGGCGGAACCAGGAGACGAAGAATCCGGGAAGAGAATGCAAGACGTGGGTGATGCTGACTGCTGCCTGTGCTGCTGCTGCTGCTGCTGGAGTTGCTGGTGCTGCTGGTGTACCTGCTGCTGTTGAGAAAGCCCTGTGTGGTGAATCAGCATGGAGGACCCAGAGCCAGCAGCAGCCACACTGTGGGCCTCCCTCTGAGCTGCTAGGGAGGCGAGCAGTGCTGACGACCCCATGCCACCTGGAACCGCCAGTGCCATGTCAGCGCCATTACCTGCTGACGCAGCAGCAGCTGCTGCTGCTGAGAGGGACGTGGACCCCCCTGCAGGGTGCAGTAGGGAAGCAGCGTCGGCAGCAGCTGGGGATGCCGGGAGGAAGAAGGGCCTCATGTGGGGGTCGTGGGCAAGGGCGGAGGAGGGGAGCATGGAGGAGTGTGCATAGGGGTGGAGGAAGAAGGGCGAGTTGGGGTTGTTGGGGTTGTGCAGGAGAGGGGATGTTGTGTAGATGGCTGACGCTCCTGCCGACTGGCAGGTGTGGAGGCCAGAGACGGGGGAGAGACAGTCATGCACAAGGGGAGAAGAAAGGGTGGGAGCAGGAGGGTTGGGAGCAGAAAGGGTGGGAGCAGGACGGGTGGGAGCAGGAAAGGGAGGATGAAAATAGCAGGAGTGAATGCGTGCAGCAGAATGGAGGGTTCCAAGAGGGTGCATGCGATAGACAGGTGGAAGGATAGAGGCAAAGTGTGAAGGGGGAGGACCAGAGGGAGCACGTGCTGTGCGCCAAACACACGCACCGCCATATTCTTCACACATAGCGGCAAACTCCTGTATCCTTTGCGCCCAGAAGCAGTGGGGGAAGCAGTGGGAAAGCAGTGGGGAAGCAGAGAAGGAACAAGTGGGGGAAGAAGCAAGAGCAGCAGTGGGAGCAGCAGCGGAGGGTGGGAGCGCACAGACCTGCAGGAGGCGGCGGTTGGAGTCAAAGGGCGAGTCCACTGCGGCATCGGTGAAGGAGGAGATGGAGGGCGACGACACGTTGCCACTCTCCATGTGCTGCGCCATCAGCCTGCTGGGGGCGAGCGGGGGGGAGACCGAGCGGGAAGGGGAGCGAGTGGGGAGCGCGAGCGGGGGGGGCGAGCGGGTGGGGCGAACAGGGGGGCGAGCAGGGGGGAAGCGAGGGGGCGAGCGGAGGGGGGGAGCATGACGGTTGAAACTAGGGAAAAAGGAAGCAAGCAGAGGAGAAAAGAGCGAGATGCAAGAGATGGGGGGAGTGGGATGCCGGGAGACAGGCGAAATTTGTGTGAGAGAGGGAAAGAGAGGGAGACGACGGGAGGGAGAAAAGGCAAGGGTAAGCGGAGGCCAGCAGGGGCCATGGGCAGAGTGGAATGAGGCGAGGGTGCAACACAGGGGCGGGGAGAAGATATGAGTAGGCAGTGCATAGGCGGCGCACCTGCCGTGGTGCATCTGGTGCTGCAGCATGGAGACGGCGGCCTGCCTCTCTGCCTTCTCCACCTGCAGTTCCTCCATCAGCGCCATCAGCCGCCCGTTCAGACTCGCCACGTCCACCGCGCCTGCTGCTGCTGCTGCTGCTGCTCCCCCTGCTGCTGCTCCCCCTGCTGCTGCTGATGCTGGTGCTGCTGCTGCTGCTGCTGCTGCTGGTACCACTGCCATGCCCGGCGCTGCTGAGTGTGCTGATGCTGGTGACGGCGCTGGTATGGGCTCCAGACGGGGAGTGGTGGCGACTGACGAGGACGAGGAGAGGGGCAACCCTGACCCTGCAGGCACTGATGCTGCTGCACCGGCAGAGGACATGGAGGCAGCGGCAGCAGCGGCAGAAGCAGCAGCAGCAGCAGGAGAAACAGCTACAGCAGGCGCTGACAGTGTGGAGGGTGACGCGGCGTCAGCACCGCCCTCTGCCGCACTAATGGTGGCGATCGGGGCAGAGGAGGCAGGTGGAGCAGGCAGGGACAGCAGATGCGAACCAGCACCAGCACCACCAACACCACTACCACCGCCACCACCACCACCCCCAACCCCAACGCTAGCAGCAGCAGTGAGTGCGCGCTCCATATCCACGGCCATCTTGCGGTGATGCGCGGAGATAATATTCCTCCTCACGTCCGACACCCTGTGCTCAGTCTCCAGCAAACACCCCTCCAGCACGCTCGCCCGCTCCATGGCCGCGGCCAGCCGCATCTTCACCACGCCCACCTCTGCCTTGGCACGCGCCGCCTCCGCCTCTGCCGCCTCGCGGCCTGCGCTCTCCTCCACCAGGCGTGCCTCCAGCTCGCTCGCCCAGCTGCGGGCGCCTGCTGCTGCTGCCTTCATCTCCCGCGCCGTGGCCCTCAGCTCCTCCAACTCCCTCTCCACCTCCTCCATCTCGCGCTGCCTCTCGTTGTTGCCGCTGCTAGGACCACCACCACCAGCAATGGCAGCAGCGGCACTGGTGCCGCTGCCTCGGCTGCCACTGCTGTTCTGCCGCTCCCCCAGCGACCCCCCACCCGCCCTGGGCACAAGCGCCAGCGCCTGGCCCCGCTCCTCCCCCTCCCCTTCGCCCTCCCCTCGTCCCCCGTCAGTCAACCTGCCCCTCTCTCCCCCTCCCCCTCCGCCTTCCCCTCCTCCCACCCGTGCCTTCACCGCAGCGAGCTCCGACTTAAGCTGCTCGTTCTGCTGCATAGTATCCATCACCTTAGCCGCCACCTCAGTGAAGGCGGTCCGCGTTTGGCTCATGTCCTCCTCCACCTGCTGCTTCTCCCTGTCGAGCGACGCCACCAGCTCGTCCAGCTCAGCGATGCGCTCCCGCGCCTCCCCCAGCTGCTGACTCAGCTCGCCCGCCTCGCCCTCCACCGCCACCAGCTCCTCGATCCGCCGCTGCGCCTCCGCCAGGCTGGCGTTCAGCGACGCGGTTGTCTCGCGCCACGTGTCCAGCTCACCAGCCATCCCTGCCAGCCTGGCTTGCGCTGCCGCCAGCTCAGCCTCAACCTCCCGCTGTGGCCTCCCACCCTGTGTGCCTGATCCTCCTCCCCCTTCCCCTCCCCCCTCCCCTCCTCCCTCCCCTCTCCCTCTTCTCTCCTCCTCCAGTTCCCTCTCCAGCCCCATCGCTCTCTCCTTCCACCTCGCCACCTCATCCTCCACCTGCGCCACGCGTGCGTTCACCGCCTCCAGCTCAGCGCGGAACCGCTCCTTATCTGCCAGGCTGTCGGTGAGCTGGATGACCATGTCCTCCACGGCCGCCAGCTCGCCGTCCACGGCCTCGTTCTCCGCTTGCGCCTGAGCCAGATCCGCCTTCAGCTGCTCTATGCTCTCCTTCGCCTCTTCCAGCTGCCACTCCAGCTCCTGCACCTGCTCCGCCTGCTGCTGCTGCTGCTGCTGCTGCTGCGCCCTCCCGTCATCCACACCCCCTTTCCCACCACCACCACCACCACCACCACCACCACCACCACCACCACCACCACCACCACCACCACCACCACCACCACCACCACCACCACCACCACCACCACCACCACCACCACCACCACCACCACCACCACCACCACCACCACCACCACCACCACCACCACCACCACCACCTCCGTTTCCTCCTCCCTCCTCTCCAGTTCCTCCTCCTCTCCCACTCCCACCCCACCCATCCCGCCCATCCCCCCTTCCCCACCGCCCTCCCGTCTCCCCCCGCCTCCCCCCTACCAATCACCTCTTCAAGCTCCACGGCCCTAGCAGCCGCCTCCTCCGCCAGCGCCGCCGCAGCCTCAGCAGTGGCCTTGTGCTCTGCGGCCGTGGCCTCGGCATCGCTCGCCCGATTCACCGCCGCCTCAACCTCCTCCTGCAACCGCACCTTCTCCTCGCATGCTCGCTGCAACTCCCCCTCCACAGCCACTCTGTACCGCTCCAGCTCCCCCTCCGCCTTCCGCCTCTCCTCCTCCGCTACAGCCAGCTCGCCCTGGAGCCGGGCGACGGTGGCGGTGACGGCGGACACCTGCTCGTTGGCGAGGTGCGCCTTGCGCTGCAGGGACTCTACTTCGTCCATGAGTCTCGCTGCGTTCTTGACGCTGAGGTCGCGCTCCTCCTGCATGCCCTCACGCTCCTCGCGCATCACCTCCCACTCCTCCCGCACGCGCTCCAGCTCGCCCTGCAGCGCGTCCCTCTCGTTCTGCAGCGCGTTCCTCTCGCCCTTGACCGCGTCCCGCTCCTCCCGCACGCGCTGCATGCGCTCGCTCTCCTCCACCTCCAGCCCCGACATGAGGCTCTTCACCTGCTCCTGCTCCTCCCGCGCCCACTCCCTCTCGTTCCTCGCTGCCGCACACTCCTCCCTCAAGATCGCACACTCCTCCTTCAGACTCTCCCTCTCCTCCCTCACTCCCTCACTCTCTTCCTTCACCCTCGCCATCTCCCCTTTGACCTTCTCGCTCTCCTCCCTCACTCTCTCATTCTCCTCCCTCACTCTCTCGCTCTCCTCCCTCGCTCTCTCACTTTCCTCTCTCAGCCCCTCACACTCCTCCCCAAGCCTCTCCAGCTCCTCCTTCACCCCATCAATCTCCCCTCTCAGCCGCTCACACTCCGCCCTCACTCTCTCACTCTCCCGCTGCCACCTCTCCTTCTCCTCATGCATCCTCTCAATCTCCTCCCTCAGCCTCCCGCACTCCTCCCTCAGCACCACCACCTCTTCCATCACCTTCTCCCTCTCCCTCTCCGCCTTCCCCCTCTCCTCCTCTGCCCGCTCCCTCTCCCTCTCCGCCCGCTCTCTTTCCTCCTCCACCCCCCTCGTCGCCCTCCCAGTTCCTTCCTCCAGCTCTGCCACCCGTGCCAGGAGGATATCTCTGCCTCTCACCACCTCATCCCTCTCCTCCCTCACCGCCTCTCCCTCCTTCCTCCACGCCTCCCTCTCCTCCACCAGAGCATCCCTCTCACTCCTCGCCTCGTCCCTCTCCTCTCGCAACCCCGCCCACTCCTCCCTCTCCCGCTCCTGCTCCCCCTCCACCGCCTCCCTCTCCGCCCTCATCCTCTCCCTCTCCTCCCTCACTCTCTCACAGTCCTCCTTGACCCTCCTCACCTCCTCTCGTGCTGCATCCACCTCTCTCTGTGCCTCCCGCTGTGCGTCTCTCTGTACGCTCCTCGCCATCTCACTCTCCCCTTCCTGCAGCGCCGCGACCAGCCGGGTCAAATGCGCCTTCTCCTCCTCTCCCTGCTCCACTGCCTCTTTCCACTGCTCCCTCTCCTCCTGCAGTCGCCCCAGCTCCCCGTTCGCCCTCTCCACCTCCTCCTCCAGTTGCCGTCTCTCCTCCTCCCACTTCTCACTCTCTCGCACCCACTCCTCCTCCTTCCTCTCCCACTGCTCTCTCTCCCCTTCCCACTGCTGCCTCTCCCTCTCGAGAACCTCACTCACCTCTCTCACTCCCTCCTTCTCCCCATCCGCTCTCTCCCTCACTCTCCTCAGCCCCTCCACCTCGTCCCTCAGCCCATCCCTCTCCTCCCTCACTCTCTCCCACTCCTCCCTCACTCTCACAACCTCCTCCTCCAGCTTCGCCCTCTCTTCCTTCTCCCCCCGCACTCTCTCCGCTTCCTCCGCTTCTATCCTCCCCACTCTCCCCCTCAACTCCTCCCTCTCTTTCCCCACACTCTCCCCCTCCACCCTCATAGCCTCCCATTCCTCCCTCAACTGCTGCACCTCCTCTCTCAACTCATCCCTCTCCTCCATCACCACTCTCAACCGCTCCTCCTCCTCCCCTCTCGCCCCACTCACTTCCCCCTTCACTCTCTCCCTCTCCCCCACTGCCGCCGCCCTCTGCTCCTCCGCCTGCCTCCGCCCCTCCTCCGCTTTCTCCACCTCCCCCCTCAGCCTTTCCCCCTCCTCCTGCGCCCGCGTCAGCTCCACGCGCATGCTCTCCCACTCCGCCACCATCCTATCCCGCACGTCCGCCATCCCATCCCGCTCCCCCTTGGCGCGCACCAGCTCCTTGCGCACCTCCTCCCGCTCCCCTTCCGCGCGCCTCACCATCTCCTCCAGCTCCGCGCACCTCTCCCCCAACCGCGCCGCCTCCTTCCGCGCCTCTTCTCTCCGCGCCTCCTCGTCCGCCTCCCCCTCCTTCGCCCGTCGCTCCTCCACCTCCTCCGCCATCCGCGCCAGTCTCTCGCGCAGCCCTTCCGCCTCCCCCTCCGTCTCCTCATACCGCCTCTTCCACTGCTCCACCTGTCCGCGCATCACCCTCAGCGTCGCGTCCCGCTCATCCCTCTCTGCGCCCGCCTCCTCCGCGCGCCTCCTCTCCGCCCTCAGCTCCCCCTCCGCCTCCTCCCACCTCTTCCTCCACGCCTCCGCCTCCTCCCCGCCCGCCCTCAACTCCCCCTCCCGCGCCCTCTCCTCCTCCTCCATCCTCCTCACCCTCTCCTCCATCCTCCTCCCCTCCGCCTCCCTCTCCTCACATCTTCTCCTCCACACCGCCACTTCCTCCCTCAGCCTCCGCACCTCCTCACCCCCTCCCGCTTCCCCCCTCCCCTCCGCCCACCGCGCGCGCCTCCATCTCCGCCACCCTGCTCTCCATCCGCATCTTCTCTGCCTCCGCCTCGTCCGCCAAGTCCTTCAGCCTCAGCAATTCCCTCTCCAGGTCATTAATAAGGATCTGTCTATCCTCTAGAACCACCTGCATGGTGTCTATCTCCGCGCTAGCTTCCACCAGCTGCTCGTCCATGCCCTTGAGCCGCCCCTCCAGTTCCCCGTACTGCGCCTCCCACTCGCGCGTCTTCTCCGCAATCGCCTCCTGGATGCGCCGCGCCTGCTCCTCGCGCACGCGCCGCAGCTCGCGCATGCACTCCTGCACAGAGGAAGCGCGGAGAGAGGCGCGGGGGAAAAGCGGGGGGAAGCGCGGAGGGCGGGCGAGTCACGGCGGAGGAGGAGGCAAGAGGTGGGGGCGGGGGGCGGGGAGAGGAAAGGGGAGAGGATGGGAAGGGAGGATGGATGTGAGGGAGGGATGGGAGATGAGGACGGAGAAGCGCGACGGAAGATAGTACGTGTATGAGGAGAGTCGTGCTGGTGGCGGTGGCGGTGGCGGTGGTGGTGGCGGTGGCGGTGGCGGCGGTGGCGGTGGCGGTGGGGGCGGTGGCGGTGGCGGTGGGGGTGGTGGTGGTGGCGGTGGCGGTGGCGGTGGCAGTGGCGGTGGCGGTGGCCGTGGCCGTGGCCGTGGCGGTGGCGGTGGCCGTGGCCGTGGCGGTGGGGGGTGGTGGTGGTGGTGGTGGTGGTGGTGGTGGTGGTGGTGGTGGTGGTGGTGGGTGGTGGTGGTGGTGGTGGTGGTGGTGGTGGTGGTGGTGGTGGTGGTGGTGGTGGTGGTGGTGGTGGTGGTGGTGGTGGTGGTGGTGGTGGTGGTGGTGGTGGTGGTGGTGGTGGTGGTGGTGGTGGTGGTGGTGGTGGTGGTGGTGGTGGTGGTGGTGGTGGTGGTGTGGTGGTGGTGGTGGTGGTGGTGGTGGTGGTGGTGGTGGTGGTGGTGGTGGTGGTGGTGGTGGTGGTGGTGGTGGTGGTGGTGGTGGTGGTGGGTGGTGGTGGTGGTGGTGGTGGTGGTGGTGGGGTGGTGGTGGTGGTGGTGGTGGTGGTGGTGGTGGTGGTGGTGGTGGTGGTGGTGGTGGTGGTGGTGGTGGTGGCGGTGATTGGCCAGAGGGCCCGAGGAGAAGCAAGAAAAGGCTCGTGGGGAACACAGACGAGAGAATCCTCAGCACTCTCCACACACCACGCGCCATTCTCGCCTGCGTTGGCTCCGCCGCTCACATCTCCAACGCAACTCTCGACTCTCTGCCCGCAAAACCCCCGCCCACTTCCCCCCATCCTCTCCCACCCCTTCCCACCCCCGTCCATCCTCGCCCCTACGCCACTCCACCGCCACCCTCACATGCACATCACCTCCTCTTCTTTCGTCCGCATCCCGCAGCCTCTCCCTCCCCGCCTTGCCCCACCCTCTTCCTTTCTCCTCACCTCCGCCCAACAACTCTCTTCCACCGCGCCCCAAACCACGGGTACCCTCCCCCCTCCCCCCCCTCAAACGACCCTCAGCCCCCATCAGCAACAGAGACCCTTCCCCCTCCTCCGTCCCCCCCTTCCCCCCCTCCTCCCGCTCCCCCTTCTACCGCTGGCGCGCGACTGACCTTGAGCGCGGCCTCCTTGCGCGCGACCTTCTTCTCGATCGCGTCCCGCAGCTGCATCGCCTGCTCCACGTGCGCCCTCCCCGCCGACCCGGCCCCCCCCGCCCGCTCCCGCTCTCTCTCCCACCCCGCCGCTGGAGGCACCGCGATTGTTGGGCACCGGGTGAAGGGGGAAGGGGGAAGGGGGGGGGGGAGGTGAGTGTGAGGAAGGGAGAAGGGTCGTGTTTGGGGTTTGAGGGGATGATGGGAAAGGGTGGGGAAGGATGCGGAAGGATGCGGAAGGATGCGGAAGGATGCGGAAGGATGCGGAAGGATGCGGAAGGATGCGGAAGGATGCGGAAGGATGCGGAAGGATGCGGAAGGATGCGGAAGGATGCGGAAGGATGCGGAAGGATGCGGAAGGATGCGGAAGGATGCGGAAGGATGGGGAAGCGGAAGGAGCTTTTGAATAGACTCGACTCAGAAGGCAATATGCTCAACATGTAAGACGGCCAGTAGCGTGGAGGCGGGCTGCCATGGACTTCATAGAACAGCGGTACAGCATCCCCGGCGATTATAAGTCGCCGACTCAAAGCCTCGTCTCGTCGCCGCTCAACTGGCGACGCGCAGAAACCCCAGCCTTGAACATGCAGCTGAATTTTTATAAATATATGTATTTTTTACTTTAAATTAAATTCTCGCAATAAACCCGCGCTTGGATACGCCTGGCGCTTCAGATAGTCCAAAAGGGGGCCTTAGTAGGTCCAGAACCCCCCACAAGTACACACGCGCAAAATCCCCCTGCTTTTTACCCCACGCGCTCACTGTGGAGGAGCAAAAGGATATTACCCGTGCTGTCAGACGGCGCGACCAAAGAGTAGCAGCTGACGGCACGGCGAATCATTAGCATAATAATAACACGAGAAACGCACATACGACGGCGGATCACTAGCATAAAGAGATAGCACGGCGAGCGCCGTGAGCCCAGTCCCGACGACGGCGCCGTAGCACTGTCGCTTCCGTTACAAGCCAATCTCGGGTTCGCGAGGCGACGTGCCGCGACACGGGATTGTGTTGGTTTCGCTGCGAATTTCAGAAGAAAACCGGCTTGAGCACAGCTACACGAGGCGGTGCCCAAACGCGGCTCGACTAACGTTTCCGAGACGACGCTACTCGGTCGGTGGGAAGAGCAGAGCGGGTCGGGTCGGGTCGGGTCGGGTCGGGTTGGGACGACGCTCTCACCTGGCATGGCGTCTCGGGGTTGTCGCTGCGACTGTGCATCCGCAAGGCTGCTATCCATGGAGCTGATCGAGTTGATGGAGGCGGAGGAGAGAGCAGGGAACGCAGCACCCGCGCTGTAGCCGTCCTTGGTGTCCGGCGCGTTGGACGCGGTCGCCATGATGCCTGCTGGCTCGGAGTCTTCTACTCGACCGTTCATACGAGTCATGAGCTCATGATGGCACGAGGTGATGACGTCATGAAATTACGGAGGCGTGGGGCTCTCGGTTCATCAACAGCGTTCGCTGTGCTGACTAGTCTGGCACTGCCAAGAGCAGCATGGGAGCAGCATGAGAGTAAAAGAGGGTGCTGCGGACTTGTACAGTTGAGGGGAACCTAACCACAGGAGCGGTTTAGCGGAAAATGACGGGTCCGGGTTGTGTTCATAATGATGAGTTTTAGAACTTCGAGCCGGGTCAAAAGCAAGGAAACCTCCTAACTTCTCCTAAACCCCGAAAATGCATAACAGTACTGCGAATGTGACGTATATGGGACGTACGTGCCACAAGAGGGTGACCCGAGAGTGACGTCTGATTTCGGTGGAGTAAGGTGCTTTGAGTTGGAGTGCGTTCAGAACGGTCTCAGGGCGATGGGAAACGCACGACTGGGACACGCCCTAACAGTCAAAGAACCTCTACTCGCGCGTATTTCAGTGGGGAGGTGTGACAAACTGAGTTTGTCTCAGTTCCTAGCTAGAACTGCACTTGCTTTGACTGTTCTTGTTGACAGTCAGCCAAACAGGACCTTAGTGCGGAGCGAGGCTCGGACTCCGCAAACAAGCCTTGATGCGCGGACCACAGACTCCCCTCGATGCACCCTCTGTCCTGACAAGAAATCCTGTCCGTTCAATTAGGGGGACCTCGGGGCGTTTCTCTGCTCTTTTCTGCTCGCTTCGCCTCCCAGAGCACCTTGGCATGTGACGGACGCGCGAATCAGCAGGCAGATGCTTCCCGCCACTTATTGGCATGTCCGAGCCGCCTGATTCGTCCGCACCCAACACCAAGCCGTCGAGCCTGGTTTGGAAAAGAAAACCTCTAAATCTGCAGCCCGATTAACTCAACCATCTAAGAGCGTGTTCCTACCAGCCTCTTCCCAAGCAACCTCTTCCCAGACTCGCGTGCTACAGTGTCGCAAATTTTGACGCGAAATGTTTCAGTGCAATTTGGCGAAGTGCGAAGTGAGATTCTGCTTCCCGAGATTCAGGGGCGTGTTTTAAAACCTCTTTTCAGACGAGAAGATTTTGCGACAAGCGCGAATCTGCACAGTATAATTTCGACGCCAGCTGGTTTTATGTGGTTGAGAGCGATGGAAAGCAAATACGAAACGGGAGTATTCCGCAAATATGAACTCGCTCTCTAGGTCGCGCGTGAGTCTGGGAAGAGGTCGCCTGGGAAGTAGCTCGTAGGAACACGCTCTAACTGCATCCAAGTTGTCCAGAGAAGACCATTGTGTAAAAAAGGGAAGGCATATCCCTGTGCCTAAATTGAGAAAACTCGCAATATCAACTAGTATGTGATCTCCTTGCCAAGATCTAAGATATCAGAGAGTGCAAGATGGGAGAATAACCACACCACAATCCGGTCAAGATAATCGATTCCCCCAGCATGGTGACCTCTACTGAATAACAGGGCTGCAAATGCAGGAAGGAGAGGATGAGCCTAAAGCCTTGAGTCACAACACTAATCAAGCATCTGCCTTCTCTTCCGTAGCCTCGTCCTGCATCCAGAAATCACAGCACCCAAGTCAGGAGCATGAAACCCGACTCACCCAAAACCGCATAAACATAACGTTATACAAACAAAGGGCAAGCCGTGCCTATTCAAAATTTTGATAGAATCTAACCTGGAGGTGTGTCCCCTAAATAGATCAACCCATGGCCCGCGCACCTGCATGTCAGAAGTCCAAAGTGTGAGGTTGTCCCGCAGCAGCTGCATGATCAGCGTGCTATCCTTGTACGAGTCCTCTCCCAATGTGTCCAGTTCAGCAATAGCCTCGTCGAACGCCTGTGACAGAAAGAGAGATTCGAGAGGGTGATTGCGGCCATTCAGAGAAAATACTGAAACATAGCACGAGTGGAAGTGTGTGTGTGAGGGAGCAAGAGAAAGCGGGAGAAGGGGCGTGTGAGGGAAAGAGGGGGCGAGTGAGGGAGCGAGAGAGGGGGCGGGAGGAAGAGAGCGAGAGGGGGGAGAGGGAGGGGGCGAGGGAGGGGGCGAGGGAGGGGGCGAGGGAGGGGGCGAGGGAGGGGGCGAGGGAGGGGGCGAGGGAGGGGGCGAGGGAGGGGGCGAGGGAGGGGGCGAGGGAGGGGGCGAGGGAGGGGGCGAGGGAGGGGGCGAGGGAGGGGGCGAGGGAGGGGGCGAGAACGAGGGGGCGAGAACGAGGGGGCGAGAACGAGGGGGCGAGAACGAGGGGGCGAGAACGAGGGGGCGAGAACGAGGGGGAGCGAGAGAGAGGGAGCAGAGAGCGAGAGCGAGAAAGAGGGAGTGAGAGAGCGAGAGCAAGAGAGAGGGAGCGATAGAAAGTTAAGATGGACAATGAGTAACTGAGGCACAAAGGGAAATAACCTGCTTGGCAAGGGTGCAGGCGCGCTCGGGAGAGTTCAAAATCTCGTAGTAGAACACGGAGAAGTTGAGAGCAAGGCCAAGACGGATCGGGTGAGTGGAAGCGAGGTCAGCATTGGCGATTTCCTGCGTAACCACAAGGAAAAAAAGAGCGAGACAGGTGCAGCAATGTTGGAACGGCGTATGGACTACACTGTTCGGCGTAGCTATGCACTCGGAAAAAAAAACGCCTCTAGTGTGGACCTTAAAAAAACTTGTCGCGCAACGGGTCAAGACTACACTGTTCGGCTTAGCTATGCACTCGGAAAAAAAACCCACAGGGGACCGATCGAAGGACAACGTCGTGGAGAATAGAAAGGAATGCACAACAAAACGCACGCACAACCAGGCCAAGAAACTAAAAGAACGAACACGATAAGGAACAAGAGATAAACGGATGAACATATGTGGACATAGAGCAGACAACATCCCACAGACATGCTTGGCAATGGTCACACAGACCTGAGCCGACTTGTAGGCGGCCAGTGTGCTCTCAGCAGCATCCTTTCTATCAGCGCCAGTCTTGAACTCAGCCAGGTAACGGTGGTAGTCGCCTTTCATTTTCAGGTAGAAAACCTTCGACTCCGCAGAGGCGGCAGCAGGGATGAGAGTGGTGTCCAGCAGCGACAGAATACGTCCGCAAACCTCGTCGAGCTCCTTCTCGATCTTGGCGCGGTACTCCTTGATGACGGTTACGCGATCTTCATGTCCTCGGCTCTCCTCCTTCTGCTCGATGGACGACACGATGCGCCATGCCGCACGACGAGCACCGACGACGTTCTTAAAAGCGACAGAGAGAAGGTTACGTTCTTCGACGGACAGCTCAGCTCCGTCGGTCATCTTAGCGACATCTTCGATAGCCTCCACCATTTCGTCGTAGCGCTCAGCCTGCTCCGCGAGCTTGGCGCGGTACACATTGTCCTCGCGCTCGGAACCCATGGCAGCTTAAGAAAAACAACGAGGATCTGGATCAGGTAGGCTTAGATAGGAGGCTGCAGCAACCTCTTCACACACAAAACACAAGCTTGAAAGAAACAAACCTCAGATGTGATCAACAAATGGGTGGCAGGAAGAGGGAGCAAAACCTCAGATTTGGGGTAAAGGAGGAGGCAGGGTCAGCGGAATATACCCAGCAAAGCGATGGGTGGGGGGAGGGGGGAAGGCAGGGAAGAAAGGCAAGCGGGGAAGTGGGGAAGGGGAAGGGAGGACCCGGGAGAGGTAAGGGGTGGGGGGTGGGGTGGGGGGTTTGGGGAAAAGAGTGGGTGGGAGAGGGGGAACAAATGGTGAATGGCTGGGGAAAAGGGGGAGTTGGCAGGTTGATGAGGTCCACCTTCGAGGGTTTGGTCAGGGGAAAGCAGACAACAGGCTGGCCAGGGGATGGCCTTGGATTGGATGGGGTTTGCCTCGACGGCAAGGGTGGAGGCGCAATCGCGCTCGCATCCGCCTCCGTGCCAAAGTTCCGCAATCGAGCTCCGCGTGCAGTGGAAGTCTGAATGGGGAGAGGCAGATGCAGAGCTCGGAGGCCTGCCGCTAGATGTGCCACCAAGGCCCACAAGTCGAGGACGTGGAACGCCGACAAAACAAGGAACATGAACACCTCGAAATGGCGTAAACTCACTCTTACAACTGCCAATAAAAATTAATTTACAATGATGCAAAAGAGCCAGGAATACATAATGCACACCTAGGGAACAAGAATACCTGAGAAAAAACAAGAGGCCCAAATGATGACGGCTACGCAGGCTCACTGAGATCTGGCTTGCTCAAACATAGCACCGAGTGTCAAACACATGTTGTATGTTTCTGTAACTATATAGGGTTGTGCCTTAGGGAGTACAACATTATGTTATATTCAATTGTATGCCTTGTTCTAGACATTTTTTCACTTCAACATGGTATCAGAGTAGGTAGGTCCTGTTAGAAGGCTAGCTTAGCTAGGAAGCTAGGAAAGGCATGAGGTTTAGCTAGGAGGAGCCATGGAGTGGCGTCAGGTTTAGGAATGAGAAAATTTGAGAAGAGAAAAGGTGTTGGAATGGAAAGAGAGAGGTATACAAGGAGGGGATTGTACCATCTACAGTAAAGTTTGGTAACCTACCAAGTCTAACAATTATATTCCATGCTATCAGTCCCTGAGGGTGACCTAGACGTCCTCGACATCCCGACCCCTCGCACCTACTCTGAGGCCACCTCGGGACCATGGGCCTCTCAGTGGATAGCTGCCATGGAGCAGGAGATGGCATCTTGGAGATCCACCGGCACCTAGTCGACGCAGTTCCCCCACCTTGGGTGAACGTAGTCGTTGGCCGATGGCTCTTCAAGGTGAAGCGCCTTCCTGGAGAGCCGCCTGACTTCGAGGCGCGCTACGTTGCTCGAGGCTTCAGTCAGCGTGAGGGGGTGGACTTCTTTCGGACCTTCGTCCCGACCCCGAAGATGACTACTCTTCAGGCACTGCTACACGTAGCAGCACAGCGTGACTACGAGCTGCACTCCCTCGACTTCTCCACAGCTTTCCTCCAGGGCAGTCTACATGAGCAGGTCTACCTTCGCCGCCCCCAAGGCTTCTCCGGTGCCTTTCCCCCTTGTACCGAGTGGCTCCTCCGTCGCCCCGTCTACGGCTTCCGACAGGCGCCCTGTGAGTGGCACGACACACTGCGTGCTACACTTGCTGACTTGCAGTTCTTCCCGTCGTCTGCAGACCCCTCGCTCTTCGTCCGTTCCGGCCAGACTCCATTCTACATCCTTGTCTACATAGATGATCTGGTCTTTGCTACTGCGGACAGAGACGCACTGGCCGCCGTGAAGGCTGAGCTGCTAAGGAGAGACACCTGCACTGACCTAGAAGAGCTACGCCGCTACCTTGGCTTGTAGATCTCCAGGGTCAGAGCAGCACGCACCATCACTCTCTCACAGTCACACTTGGTGTGCCAGGTCATTTAGAGGTTCGGCCTTCAGTTGTCTTATGCACAGCCCATCCCTCTATCAGTAAACCACAGACTCTCTGCCCTAGTCCTTGAGGAGGCTGTACAGCCTAGTGGTCCCTACGCAGAGCTGGTGGGTTGCCTCATGTACCTGATGACTTGCACTCGTCCAGATCTCGCATACCCTCTCAGCATCCTGGCTCGCTTTGTGGCCCCAGGCAGACACCGACCACAGCACTGGTCGACAGCTAAGAGGGTTTTGCGTTATCTAGCAAGTACATCGGGCATGGGGCTAGTGCTAGGACGACGGAAACCAGTGGTCCTTACCGGGCAGACAGACGCTTCTTGGGCTGACAACGCCGAGACTCTCAGGTCCTCACAGGGTTACTCCTTTAGCCTTGGTGCAGGTGCCATCTCGTGGAGGTCCACCCGTTCCTCGTCTGTTGCCTCATCTAGCTGTGGGGCTGAGATCTACGCAGGTGCCATGGCGGCACAGGAGCTCCGCTGGCTGACCTTCTTGCAAATCGACTTGGGTGAGAAGCCTAGCTCTGCCCCGGTTCTGTACGCTGACAACAGGGCCATGATCCTCCTGTGTCAGGAGCCACGACTTGAGGGCAGAGCGAAGCACATCTAGCTGCGGTACTTCCTCCAGCGCGAGTTGCAGCAGCGTTGCCAGGCTCATGTAGTACACTTGGCCTCAGGTGCCAACACAGTTGATATCTTGACTAAGGCGCTTGCGCCTAAAGATCATCAGCGGCACTGTGTACAGCTAGGTCTCGTTCCTGTAGCCTCTCACTTGCTAGGAACTTGATTGTGTACAGACCTTTATATATATTACCCTGACTGGCCTTGTGGCCTTTTCCCAGTGGCTGTACTAGTAGTGCCACCCTGGTCTTGCTCTTGCCGTGTCTGTACTTGTTTGACTGGTCTTTAGACCCCTACCTCAGAGGCTGGACTAGTAGTGCCACCGTGAGTTGTTTCTCTCTCATCGGGCACTGCCCCTATCAGGCCTCAGGATATCAGGGTAAAATACCCTTACGATCCTTATTATAAGGCTTGGGTGGGTGTTGGACCCTTATTTTTGAAAGTGGTTTAGTTTTCGACCCTTATGAGAAAAAACTAAATTTGTACAGCGCCGTGTTTTTTCAGAGTGGTCGAGTGTTGGGATCCTGATGCGGAAAAGTGTGAAGTAGGCTTACACTTACACAATCACACATGGGGTCCCCCGCAGATTTACCTCCCCCCCCCGGATCACGCCGAAATCAGACATAGAACTCCCCTCTATGTTGTGTGAGGGCGGTGATTGGCCCTTCACCAAAATAACCGTCTGGTCCGTGCTGGAGGCTGTGTGAGGGTGCTGACTGGCCCTTAACCAACTGGAGGGCTCTTGTCCAAATGTGCTATTGGTTGTGTGAGGGCAGAGTCGACCCTTGACCGTGTTTAGGGACCGACGCGTGCTTGTGGGGAAGCTTTGTGAGGGCAAGATTCCCCTTTTCCCCCACCCCTGCCATGTCAGTCTCCCACCCCCCCCCCCCCCCCCCCCCCCCCCCCCCCCCCCCCCTCTCCCTCTCCCTACATACCACCTCGATTCCTGCCGCCCACGCAATCTCCCACCCCTGATTTTTTCGATTCTCCCCACCTCCCAGTAATTTCCCCGCCCCTCCCAATTTCACTCCTGCACGTGCAAACCTGCCTTGGATTCATGAGCTCACGTTTCAGCCGCCAAATGGCCCTCGGCCATCAAGAAATTATTCTCCAAAATTTAGCTCCACCCCCCCCCCCCCCCCCGCCCCCCCCCTCCCCCCACCCCCCCCCCCCCTCGCGCCCATGGGACGTGAAGTAACAACAGCCATTTTTGAAGGACTACGGTCGTCACATATTTTGTAAGGGCTCTTTTACGATATTTCGGAAATCCGATTTCATGTGGTTTGGGAAATCCGACAAAAAAAAAAATCGCATTGATGGTAATGGGCTGTCTTAAACGCGAATCGAACGATCGTGTCAAGACAATTTGTGTCAGTTATTGCCCCAGAGTACTGACACTTCGCTGGCACGTGCCGGCCAAACGAGATGTGTTTTGGTGTGTCAGGCTGCCATTGAACCCCATAAAATGGCATGAGGTTTAGCTAGGAGCTAGGAGGTTTTAGGTGCTAGGAAAGTTGAGGAGAGAAAAGAGGATTAGAATAGAAGAGAGAGGGATACAAGGAGGGGTGTTGTACCATCTACAGTAAAGTTCAGTAAGCCTACCAAGCCTACAATTATATACTAACATATATAATTTAACACACCCCCTAGGCTTGGTAGACACAAGCCCACACCACACCCTTATGGGGAAAAGTAAAAACGTTCAGGACCCTTATATTACAAAGTATCTATGAAATCTAGCCTTACAGAAAAAGTGGCAAGAAGGGAATACCTGTCGAGAAGATAGGCTAGGCAGGAATAGGTGAAGCCATGAATATGGCGTGAGATCTAGATCTAGGAGGTAGGCGCGAAGTTTGACGAGAGAAAAGAGAACTAGGAAAGAAGAGAGAGGGATACAAGGACGGGTGTTGTACCCTCTAAAGTAATGTTCAGTAAAATCTACCAAGCCTACACTTATATAGTCACTTATATAATTTAACACACCCCCTAGGCTTGGTAGTAGAAGGACCCACACACCCCCACACCCCCTAACCTAGCACCCCCATTCCCATCAGCCACAACGGCTCCAACAGTTCCCCGAGGCCTTGGAGATGGCGACGGCGGTAGTCCCGGGAGCGGCGACAGCGACGGCGACGACGGGCGTGCGGCAGCAACAGGCCTGCGGCGACGACAGCGGCGACGGCGACGGCTTTGGCTTACGATGACGGTGACGGCAGCGGCCCCCGCCCTTCCGGCGGTGTGTCCAAACTCCGCACCAGGGGAACGACCGGCGAGAGTCTGACGGCGGCTGTGCCGAAGAGGAGGGGACAGAGGACAGGGGGAAGGGGCGGGGCTTCGGATCTTAAGCGCGGTGCCATTGCTGGCGCGGCGCTTACTGGCGAGCGGGAGGGCTGCATTTCCAGCAGCGACGCAGGTCGTGCGCGACGGCAACAGGCCGACGTCGCAGCCACGGCACCACGACGGCGCCCCACAGCATGGCATCATCGCCGCAGCTGCTCATCAACGCTGGGCCGACAGCACGCA